TCTTGGAGGCTGACACGTCCAGGTCTTATCTTTTCTGGTAGTTCGGTACCTTAAGCCCGCATACAAGCTACTTGATCGAGCATCTTACTTCCGTATATGCGAGAGTTCCACTTGCCCGGCCTAGCTACCTTCTCAGGCAGTCTACCGAGTTATTCTGAGTGCCACATCATCTAGCCCCCCACCATTTCAGGACGAGCTAATTGGACTTGTGCTGAAATTATCATTTGATGGCTCAGTGAAATTAAGAATTTAAGTTTCACATTAGAAATATCTATTTACATGAAAAAACGTTTCAAGTTGTAATATAATGTAATTTTATTGTATACAATTTGATAAAGAAAACGAGTAAATAAGATAATATAGTCAAATATCATAATTAAAATTATAGCATTAATCATTGAAATATATACTTTATCTAATTGAAATTGGATATTAATACACTCATTATATATGTTGAAAAAATGAATTAAAGAACTAAATATTGAAAAAAATTTAAATATAAAAATAAAATAATTTACTATGAAAAAAATTTGTTGCACAAGCAATCAAAAAAAGTTAGTTATCGAGAAATATGCAAAATTTGAATTATCAGAAAAAGTAATAGGACCAAGATAATCGGTAGTTTTATAAATACATGTAAATAGTTTTTATAAAAATGTCATAATTAAAGTATTAAATATTTATAATAGTAAATAGTAAAATTTATATATTATATAGTCATGCCCTACAAAAATAAATAATAAAATAAAAATGTTAAAATAAAATTTATAATATTACTTACTTGATATATTATGTCGAATAGAGTTAGAATATTATCTCAAATAATTTAATAATATTTTAATAATAATACATTAACTTACAATGTATCTTGTGCATCGCACGGGTATCAATGCTAGTTATCTCAACGATGGTTTTTAGTTTTGGGTTGTACATTAATGAGTTAGTTGATCTTATTGTGGGTCCTCTGTAACATGGGTTAGGTCCAATTATACCTCTTACATGTGACAATTTTGATAATTTGGATTAAAATGACTCCTTACTACCTCTTTTGTAATGGACCCAAACCTTTTGCATGACTCACAAGAGAGGTCTATGGGTCATATTCCCAATCTTAGTTGTTGTTGGGCTTTTGGGCATTTAAGTTTCAATAACAGACGTGAATAATTTAATTTCTTATAATAACATTCGAGTATTATATCCTACAACATTTAATGTAGATGTCTTTATTCAACACAAAAAGTCATAACCTAGTTTCATATAGGCCATCAAAATATAAAAATGTAAGTCCTTAATTTAATTTAAATAATTTAGTTCGAAATAGTATCCAATTTTTTTAGTGTTCAGTTGTTTGAAAAAAATAACTCTACAAAAGAAACAATAATATATACTTTTTTTATCATTTTGTTCTTTTGATAGTTTAGCATGAAAAAAATGTAAAATAGCATAAAGAATGCACAATAACATAAAATAACATGTCATGTCTAATATATAAATTATTTCTGGACTGGATTTTGGACCAGTGGTGCATGAACTGTCCTTCAACTCAGAACTCCAATGACTTGCAAAATGCGCCGGGAGAGATCCCGGCAAAAAAACATAAAACGTTCAAGTTAGATTTCGCTCATGAACTTTCTAAACTTGAATGTAAGAGTATATAATGCGTCAATTGTAAACGAACATGGGAACCTCATTTTGCAAAGAGATTGTCTTCATTTTCATACAACTTCATTACTAGGAAAGATCTGTCTTCGTATTTCTTTTACTAATATAACACGTCTTCAAGATCCCTTATTTCTCACCGAGATACACTTACCATCTTAATAGGATTTTGTTTGCTTCTTTAATATGTCTTCTTAGGTCCTTAGGTCTTCGTGCCGACCTCATGAAACTTCTCCCATATACCCCACTAGGCAGTTTCACGACCTCCAATGGCCCGACCTACAAGCCGTGATAATCCATTCATCCGGTTAAGCTCTCATATGAGTTGACTCTCTACCTCGCTATGAGAGCTGACTCGTGCCTCAAGCTGCTACACCGCGATCCTGGTCGAAGATAGGCCCTGTTACCGAGTCAAAGTTATCTGGGACAGGTTAACCCGAGCTAACCACTCTAACTGGTCCATCGAGCTATTATGGGTGCTATATCATCTAGCCCTCTATTGTAGGACGAGTTACTTGGACTCGACGCATAATCTCATAATTTGACTTTAATGTTTTAGCATTAAATGCACTTTGTCTGCACATCTTCGGTAGCGTGTACGTTAGAGACGCTTCAAAACCATAGATACTCTTTCAACATGGGTTGTTGATCTCTCCCTTGATCAAAGACCCACATTGCACGTCATTTTATCACGTCACTTAAGCTTAGTTCCCAATTTTCTTACTATAAAAAATACATTGTCTCTTCCACCTTTATTTTTTTTTTTTTTTTTNCTTTTTTTTTTTTTTTTTTGCAATTTCTACTCGCTCAAGCTTATTGCAAAGAAATTCTACAGGAAACGCTTGAAAGGTCACCACGACGAGGTCACCCGAACTCAAATGATCCTACAAACTCTGACGAAATCCTAATACATCTCCATCAATTACTATAGGTAAGTAACTGTTTCCTTGCCATATACTCTTGAATTTCTTAATGTCAGTTGTTTTTGCATACTTTTTTTTCAATTTGTTCTTCCTTCGTACATTTTCGACAAACATGTCTAACTCCGGCTATCCCACTAATTCTTCACCTGATAGCGCAAATCAAATCGCCATTTTCTAGGATTCAAACCCCTCATTAGCTACGAACCCGACCTCACACGTTGTGGCCTTAACCATTAGGTCACCCTTACATCTAGTAGATGAGCAAGAAGGCGAAATCCTCTGGGACGAGCTTCAAAATTTAATAGATAGTTACCCTGAACAATTGAGCTCACACCCCCATCTGAGGGTGTTCTTATTAAGAAAGTAGCGCTAGAATGACGTAGGAAACAATAACCGTGGTCAAGGGACGGTGCCCCTTGCTGTTAATCTCGTAAAACTAAACCCTCTCTTCAGCTACTCTCACTAAAAATAGCCTATTTTAAACACAGTGTGAGTTTTCCCGCTCTTGGACCCTTCAAGCTACCATTTTACGTGACAACTTTGACCAGCCTCCTCTAGGCTTCTTTACTTTACAT